TGTCTACTGACAGGCCACAGTCTTATTATCATGCCCATGTCATCTCCAATAGGCTGCTTCCTACTGAACCAAGAAAATTGGTTTAATGTGTCCGGCCAATTTGGCTATCACAGAGCTCAACTTGTGTTTTCATATCCTGTTTCTTTCTCTACCCTCGCAAAAAAAAAAAAAGAGAATACAATTCTTCCATTGCCTTGCACTGTCACCCCGGTGGGTCTGTTAAAAATAATGAAATTACGCAGCGCACAGCCACGGCAGCTCGCTAAAAGGACATCTAAATAACACCAAAACATGGCACTCTTTACATACAGCACATTGTTTTTGTCTCTTCTATATCCGTTTCAGTTTGATCCACAGTTTGATTTGACTTGAGTTTAAGTTACAGAGAAGGAGTGCGAGTGTGTAGCGGTGAGCATATAGTCAGGGGCCAACATTTCAATTATTCAGCAGGGTTACTTGGATTTTTGAAAACTTGCAATAAATAAAACATTGACTTCTACAGCTGCAGTGAAATCTCAAGCAAATTCACCGGATACTCGTAGCATCTGTATTTGCAATGAACTGTTAATTGCACGAATGGAAGTTTTATGCCTGTGAGCCTGTGTGATGTTTTCTGTGTCTAAAGAAAACATTAACAGTGAGCGAGGAAGACAAAGACAACAGATGTGTGCGTTACTACCACACCGGACTTTTCTAAAGTCTTTCAGGTAACTTTTCTAAAAATCTAAAAGCGTCACAGCCCCACAAGCAGAGGGGAAAACGAAACGCACCCTAAGGACAGGAACGAAGCGAACAAACGCTCAAATTCTGCTTCTGTCAGAGAGTCTGCGTCTTCTGTTTCCATCTTGGCCGGCGTTCTTGCCCACCGTCTTCCGCCCATTTCCACAAATACGTAGCCAGAGACCGTCGATGCTTATCGTGACATCTTCCGCTTTCCTCTGATTTGTTAAATGATTTATTAATGAAAGAGGATGCAAACATAGCTGCTGTTCTGTGCATTACAAGAGCTGCTACAGCAAAGCTGTTGAAGTGCGCACCTTTGCGAGCACCACAGATGAAAATGCCAATAATGGCAACTAATAAACAAAAGCGTTTCTGTGTTTTGGCTTAAGAGAGATGTCCTAATTTACAGCACTTCCCTCAGGCAACGCTCTACTGGTATCTATCATATGAGCTTTGGGGAGATAAAGAAAAAAATAAAAGCGCTTATTAATAATTCAGATTTTCAGTGTGTAGCGTTATGTACAGTAGCAGCAGGTTTATTTGAGGAAATATGAAGATATACCCTGAGGTAAGCTGATATTTTTTAAGGACTGGCAAGCTCAAATAAAATTAATCTTGCCCAGTGACTCAGAGCCTCAACTGGGGGACAAATGCACACAAATTCCAAAATTTTTTTTTTTTTTTTTTAACTGTCTCCCATTCCTGAAATGACTGCCTGCGCATCCAGTTGCTATGCTGTCGATCAAGGTTTCAGTGCGTACAGGTTTACCAAACTTGTTCCAACAGAAAGCTCCGGAGGAAAGTAGTTATCTAAAGATGAAGGGAGAGAAATGAAATAAAGAGTGCTTTTCTATTCACTGCCTCAGTGGCCACTGAGGTGTGGGAGCAATTTCAATACAATGCACAGCGGAGGCTTTGATAAGACTTTTCAGCGGCATCCTCAAAAACAGTCTTCACACGTGCATCTGTGTGTTTGGGTGCACGAGCGCGCACGTTTCTTGGAGGAAGGGCGTTTCAACGTTCGGACAAATACAAGATTGTCACGCTCATAAAAGAGTAGGGGCTCTGTCACGGAGCCTGCCAGCTAAAGGCTTAAATCACACGCCTGGAATACACAATGACGTTAAACCCACACACATCCACACACACTCACACAATCTCCCTAAATTATGCAGAGTAAGACCATTCCTCGAAGCATCAATTTTCAACATCTGCTCCGGCTACATTGCTGGCAGGTATGTGCTCAGTCTAAACAGTGATTTTTTATTTTGTTTGTTTCTTCTTCTTAGTAAGTACGCTTTTCAAATGATCACAGTCACCACACTTGACGTTTGTTTTTATTCCAGGAATATTTAATTCACCGAATAGGATTTTGGATCTTTTTATTGTGTGTGAACTCAATCCCAAAATTCCATAAATTCAGATATTGTCACTCAAAGAAGTGCGGCTGCTCGCCTGGCAAATCCACAAGAAAAAGAAAATGCTATATTTCATGTGTATGAATGTCTGGCATTTCTCATTAGAGCAGCAGGGAGTCTTCTTTGCAAATGACAAGTGACAGTGTCAAGTCAGCAGAGACTGGAGCCCCGTTCCTCCCCGTCACCCCACACAAGGCAGAATGCCGCCACCTAAAGGCAGCTCTTATAGCCTTCCTCACACCCCCTTTTCCTTTCTTTTCTTTTTGCCTTTGTATTACTTGCACCTTATTAACGCGAACGGTCTCCCACTAAGACGAGAATCTGCTTAATTAGAGTTTTGTGGTGAATCTAATTAGAAACAAAACGAATCAATATGATAAAATATGGGCCGTTTGAACGCCATGACACAAGGTGTCTCTAACTGTTTGGTTACAGTGATGATGTCAGCTGTTCACAAAAGTAAAAGAAATGGAAAAAAAGTGGAAGGTGCATACTAGGTGCACATGGCTGCCTAAAGCATGCTCGTGACAGATTGGACTTAAGTGTGAAGTGATGAAAAGTAATTCCTTCTTCCCGAACACTGAGACAATTTGCTGCAGACTGGTCTTAACCTTGATTCTACGCTAAGTAATTCCCTTCAACGCCTTAAGCAAAATTAGGCATCATTACTTATCATCCATCTTCTTATTCCAGGAATTCTCTCTACAAATGAATCTGGCACTGTGGTGACAATGATAAGGGCAGCAGAGCTCTGCTGATGTGTTCGTATTATTCCCTTCTCCCAGCTAGAAACCAACCCTAGCCTTTCTGCCAGCTCACTGCTATAAAACATCATTAGAGGCTGGAGTATGGAGAAAGACTGGAAGTTGAAGACAACTACAGCGGCTCTACTTGGAACAAGTTTGGTAAACCTGTATGTACAGATGAAGACAGCGGCACTGAGGTGCCCTTGTGAAAGTGATTGACCATGCGATATGCTCACCAAGTTTATCCATCTCCTTATTTATTTTTTTCCCATATAGCCTCTCCTTTGTGACAACTGTAGTGACAGATGGGCTGAGAGGCCTTGGGATCGATAGAAGGGGAATTCTGTCTTTGTTTCCTGACATTTTTCCCATAGCCACGCTAGCCGACTCAGGTTACTTACTGTCCACGCGCAGGGAGAAGCGAGGATGGAGTAGGGAGGAGGGAGGAATGAGATACGCTTCTGTAAAGCCTCTGAAGAAACTTAATGCCTCAGGCCATCTCCCTCTACACAGGTTTCTGTTGAATAATACAACAGAGCACCCTGAACGCCTGATGCGTCGAAGGGGACCGTCTGTAAACAAGACACCAAGGAATGTGTTGTTGCCTTTCCTGCTAGTTTCCCCTTTGACAGTCTGAATAAAGAGCGAAAAGGAAGCTCTCAAACTGTATGTGTGTGTGTGTGTGTCTGTGTGTGAGACAGCCTTGTGTTGTCCAATTCATCATCACTACATTAACAGAGAAACAGCCTGCAGAAAGGCCCAGCAATTATTCTCTCTCTCTGATTAGGAAGCCTTAACGATCTTTTTGCTGACCCTTGCCCTGTGCAGCTGGTTCATAATAGAAGCAGGGATGAGGCTGAGAGTGAGAACAACAGACAGTGGTCTTCCTCCCTGGTGGGAATATGTCACATCTGATCACCGTCACGATCAAGTCCTCATCCACTGAAAGCAGTGGGGAAGCAAAAAATGTAAAACAGAAAAAAAAGAAAAAAAGAAAAAAGCTAAAAATTAATAAAGTGCAACTGGCAAAAATGTCATGCCCTAACAGTGTCAAGCAGTATAAGACTATGATAGAAAATTCAGTGCCAAATCATAGCATATGTTCTCTCAAGGTATATGTTCTCTCATAGCATTGTCAGATGAAAAACCAACAAGCACTTGGAGAGAGTGGGGAAGAAGATGGAGGTTCTTTTAGCAGGAAGAAACTTACAGAACCAGAATCAGGGTGGGCGGCCGCTTTGGCCAGAATAACGGGTAAATATCGTAATAAGGGTAAACTGTGCCACGACTGCCCATTATCCCCAGCATTACATACCAATGTCTTAAGCAGGCTCTAATCCTTGTCTGACACGACAGACTTTTAATGGGCTTAAGGCCAAAGACACAGAGAAGTTATCACATTAGAGGCTTATACACCCAGTACTCCGCTCAAAGACTTATGAAGTAGCTGTGAAAATAGGTACAATCTGCTAATCTCTAGGAATTAAAACCCACTAGAATAAACCTCATATAGCTATAGAATTTCATGTCTCACCAAAAGAAAAGGGAGAAAAGAAAAAAAGAAAAAGCATCAGTCACAACTTGGAGGAGCTTCACTATCACTAAGACATCTGTTGCTGTCACTCTGTATATGTTTAAATTGAGAAAATATTCAGGTAAAAATCATTTAAACAAAACTGATCTAGATGTAATTTTTTGGATTAAAGCAAGAACATTTCTTTGGAATTATGACAATGGTCCAAAATAGGATATATACCTGCTTATAACACACGCTAAGCTCTTGACTCCACAGCAATGAGATGACAGCGACCGAAAACTGATTTCAAAAGCCTGCCGTGACATATTCCAAGCACAACCGATTTGTGTTGATGTCACTGGCTCTGTTCTATGAGAGCACCAGAATGACTGTTTAATCCTTCTAATGCTCACCCCCCCCCCTTCCTTTCTTGTCTTTGTCTCAGTGCTTCTGGGCCTCTCTGCCTGTCCTTGTCTTTTTTTTTTCCTTTCATTTTATAAAACAAGGGGTGGGGGGCTGATACAGGAAGTGGGACCTTTGTGAGTCCTGTGACGTAAAAATGGTGGCACAACAGTGAAGGAGTGCAATTTCTCTTACCTGTATGATGGACATGCGGTTAGTAGGTGTGTCTGTGGTGCTGGTGACTGGGCCTGTGAAGCTGGTGTGGCATCCCACGTGGCCTTGGGGCACGCTGAGGTTATTGGCAGTGGGTTTGAGGTACATGACCTCTGACCTTGGTGAGCTGAGTGGCAGACGTGTCTGGTAGTCAAAGTACATGGGAGAGGTGGCCAAGGAAGGGCTGCTTACCACATTCATCACATTCATGGCATCCCGCTCCTCCACCTCGCTCTGCACCAGCATGATGTCGTTCTTGTTAATCTTCTTCTTCTTCCCTTTCCCCAGCTGCGGGTGCGAGTACTCTGCAATGCGACAATTGTAAGTGCGAATCTCCTTGTTTTCCCGCTTGCACTTGATAGCTATGGTCACCATGGCAGCCAAAAGCATGATAGATATGATGCTAAGAGTTACAATAAGAGGCAAAGACATGTCCCAGTTCTGATTGTCCTTCATGTGCGGCAGTCCATCAGGAGGTCGTCCATTGGAGGCCTTGATGATGAGCCTGGCGGCAGCGGTCAGAGTCGGCTTGCCGTGGTCCGATACTCGAATGATCAGCTCAACAATGGGGCTCACGTCATCCCAGAATGGGTGAGCCGTTCGTACCTCGCCGGTCACTGGATCAATCTCAAAGAGATGTTCCTCATTGCCATCTGATATCTCATAGGTAAGCCGCCCACTTTCACCGTAGTCATTGTCTACCGCCCTCACTGTGGTGACAATGTAGCCAACGCCAACATTACGTGGCACGTGGATTTCAGCGGTATCATTCTGAAGAAGCGGCAAAACTATGACAGGGATGTTGTCATTGACATCCAGAACACTGATGCGCACTGTAGCATTGCTCTCCAAGTGCGGAGATCCTGCATCCTTAGCCAGAACCTTGAAGTCAAAATATTTTATTTGCTCATAGTTAAAAGATCGGACAGCATAGATGGCTCCATTAGCAGCATTTACATTAACATAGGTGTTGACATCACCCCCACTAACATTGGAGTTAATTATGCTGTAGTACACGGTGCCATTTTGCCCAAGGTCTGGGTCATGTGCCAGAACTGACCCCAGGTATTCCCCAGGTATATTGTTCTCAGGAATCTGAAGAAGGTAGACTGACTTGGTAAAGCGAGGGGTATTGTCATTCTCATCCAGGATCTTTACTGTGAAGGATTTTGTGAAGTTCAGAGGAGGTATGCCGTTGTCTTTGGCCACAATGGTGACATTGTACTCGTCCTGCATCTCCCTATCCAAGGGCCTGTCTGTCACCACTGTGTAAAAGTTGTCATAGTTCTCTTCGAGTTTAAAAGGTACATTACCTAGGACTCTGCATTGAAGCTGCCCATTCCTGCCTGAGTCCTTGTCTGTGACACGGACCAGAGCAATGACAGTGCCTGGAGGAGCTGCCTCACTGATGGCCCCCTGTCTCACAGACACAAAGCCTATAGATGGCCAGTTATCATTCCTGTCAAGCACTTTAACGGTCACTTTACAATGGCCTGGGATTGGATTGGGACCTAGATCCTTTGCCTGGACGTCAATCTCAATAACTGGGCTTTCTTCATAGTCAATTTCACCCTGAATCTTTATGACTCCTGTTCTTGAATCTATGGAGAAAAGCTCTCGGATTCTCTCTGGAGCATAGCCACTAAAGGAATAGACTACTTGTCCATTGTTCCCCTCATCAGGATCGGTGGCATTTAGATCAATCAAGACTTTTCCAGGAGGTGAATTTTCAGGAATTTCCACAACATACGAGGGCTGATCAAACACAGGGCTGTTATCATTGGAATCAATAACTTTAACATTTATCTGCATGGTGCCTGATCTAGGATATTCGCCCCCATCAGTGGCTGACAATATAAGGGTGTGATGGCTTCTTTCTTCCCGGTCCAGTGGTCGTTGAATAACTAATTCTGGGAATTTAGTCCCGTCACCACGGGATTTTACCTCCAAAGAAAAGAGATTGTAGTCATCGCGTGTTATTTGATAGGTTTTCAGGCCGTTTTCCCCTGCATCTGGGTCATGTGCGCTGGTCAGGGGAAAGCGTGTCCCTGGGACTGCATTTTCAGAAATGTCAATATCAATCTGATCCGAAGGAAACATAGGTGAGTTGTCATTGATGTCCTGAATATCTATCTTGATCATGCATATCTCCTTGTCGTTGGCAAACACTTCCATTGAGAGCTGGCACTTGGGGTTTCTCTTACACAATGTTTCCCTGTCGATGCGCTGTTTCGTATACAGCAATCCGCTTTGTGGGTCCACGTCGATGAGATGCGGGGCTGAGTTCTCCAGCACTCTGAAGTTGGCTTTCTTACCCTGTCCTCCCTGCCCAGTCTGTTCAATTCCAAGTCTGGCATCTTTGGCAATGTTCCCAATCACTGTACCCGGACCCTGCTCCTCTGGGACAGAGTAATTCAAGTTTTTCAATGTCAGGGCTTGAGCCCACAAGAGCAGGAAAAAGAAAATAGAAAGATACATCTCCACTCAGTTAAAAGCTGCTATGATCTGTGTTGAAATTAGCCCCTCCTTTTAACTGTTGATATTTTGCTCAAATGTGGTATTTCTGTTATCCAGGACAAAATAAAGAGTTCTGTTCATCATGCGAGGCCTTGACATTTGTCTTTGTGGATTGTTTTTGCTCTGTCGCTCTCTTCCTCTGCGAGCAATCGGTGGCGCTGAGCACCTAATTTATATTCAGCTGAGCATCCAGACTCATCTGAGCAATAATCGGGATCCAGTCTCCAAACAGAATAGTCACTGCAAAGTGTTCAAAACCACCTAAGAAGGAAAACAGAAACAAGATATAGATGTTATAATATACATGAATCAATTAGCCACTCAAATGAAAAGACACTGAGCCGCACTGGCCATTCTGCCAGTAAGAAATCAGATCCACCTCTGAGCCAAAAATGAAACAAAGCTCATGTGTAATTCATCTCCACATTTACGGAGGAAGCTTGTCAATTAGTTAACCTTGGGAAGACACTCCACGCAGCATAAAATATATGGGCAAATAATGATTCTCCTTGTAGCTTATTTACTCCATAAATACCACATCCTCAGTGCATTTTTTTTTCAATCTATCTCTAATGTACAATGGACTACCTGACCCGAGCGCGATAATGGCCCATTCACACATTAGGAGAACTCAAACTGCAATAGGACAACTTCAATAATGTGGTATCATTGCAGGCGTACAACTGAACACGGCCTATTGTGGCGGCTATTTGAATAAGTGTGTATAAAATGAGCCTCTTACACGCATTAACAAATCCGCATAATCCGGATATTTAAAATGAGCCTTATAAAAATTCAGAAATGAGCTGCCAACATCTCAGCACAGCCGTGTAATTCTCTCCACTCGTGCTCTGTGCCTCTCTTTCTCCCTCTTTCTGTGAGAGAGATTCATCGCTCCTTGGAACAAGACGAAGAAGCTGTTGCATCCGCATGCATGGGGATGGTTGCGAGATAAGGTTTGGAAACGAGCAACAGACAGCGGAAAAATAAAAGAGATGTCAAATGATGTCAAATATATAACTTACCAAAAGAAACTGCGCAAATAGTCCAAGGATAGAACTGTACAAAAAAAGAAAAAAAGATAATAACAACAAAAGGAGAAAGACAAAAATTAAAAACAGTCAGTTCCAGCAGGGTTTAGGGAGAGTTTCGTCTCCTTAGCCCACTTCGGTAGGTGCCACCCGTATCCTCCTTCTCCTCTTTGTGAAGAGGGGGAGAGGGGGGAAAGCCACAAGCCTCCAATGCACACGCAGGCTACAGTGCAGCGCAGTGGAAATAAAAAAAAAAGTGCTCCAGAAAAGTATGACTGTAATGTCAATGAGCTGAAGTCCTCTCCGCTGTCTGATTAGGATGCAGCGGCTCGCCTTCTGCCTGCAGTGAGTCACCGTTCTTCGGGAAGGAAAACTGAGAAATACTCTACGAAGAAGAAGAAAGGAGGGGAAAAATCCAGATGTGTGGTAAGGTAGATCCAAAGTGAATATTTGAAAGGCAGTCAGTGTTTTTTCCGCCGTTCCAGACAGCACAGAGTTACTGATTCCCGTAGTGGCATTTTTGTCCTTGCCCGTCGTCCCCGTCAAAGTCCACGCACACACACATGCACACACACACACACACACATATATATATATATATACACACAGATACACAGAGAGACAGCTGCTGAGGTGGTCAACAACAACGCCGCATTCCGGCACAAGTCTCCCCTATATCTGTCAGAAAATGTGTGATTTCCTTCAGCACGCACGCACAGTCGTTATTTACTATTTCGCACACGCAGCACAGCCCTAAGCCCACGGAGCGCTTCCTCTCACTGACTGAACTCCGGACACCGCATGGTGCATTAAACATTGTCGCTACTCCTCTGGCAGCCAATGAATTTGAAGAGGTGGGAAGAGAAGGAGGGGATTCAAAAGCCGCTGTGGGTACTGACTACAAATGATTGGTGGCTTGCAGTTCACCGGTGGCGGATGGGTTTTTTTCAAAACCCAACTCAATGGTGGTTAAAAAAAAAGAAAACGGGCCGTGGGGAAGGGGGGGCAGGCTCGCCGACTGGGGCCAGGATAAAGTGGTTGGAAGTGTCCGTTAAAGCATCAAAAAATAACAAGACGACAGATTTGAATCCAGTGGAAGTAAATTTCTCTGGTACAGAGAGCAGAGACCTCCCTGATCCCGACGTAAAAGCGCCAGTTTAGTTCTTTGGTGCACAACTGTCTTAGTTTTCTTAAGAGGGATTGTGAGTGTTTGGGAAGTGCACGCTTTAGGAGCTACTTATTACACTTCGCAATTACCGGTCTCCTTTCGCGGTTTTTATTTAAAGTTCTAGCTAGAGGCTTTATTTGCCGTGCCACCTGAGAAGCAGCAGAGATTGCGTTAATCATTTCCTATGTAATTAAAGCTGCTAAATGTCTAGGCAACTGTATGATGGGAATTTATGATACATTTTGAATTAAGGACTGCAGCAGGCAGCCTATTCGATAGTGACAGTGAACTGTCATGGCTGTTTCAAACGAGAACAATTAGCAGTAAATGCCCCCTAAGCAGTGGAACAAGGGCTAAGCTGTTCAGTCATAAGTAAGAGTATGTTGACTATATGTGCTTTTAAATGTGTGCTAGACAAAATAAGGAATTTAAATAAATCATTTCAGACTTTAGGAAAATGTGATGTGCATTATTATTATTTTTTAAAGCCTTTCTCCCTAGCAGCATCGCAGACAACTAACTCAGGCAATATTCAGATTCAACAATATTAATAATACAATTAGCTTTTAACTGCAAGCTAACTCAGAGACACTTCCACCTTAGCTGGGTCAGGACATGCATTCAGAAAAACTGATTAGAAAAAAGTAATAAAAAGTTTTCCAATCAACCCACTGTGTCACACTGTTGCTCGTCATCATCCGTCCCACGGTTAGTAACTGGTGTGTATCTGCAAAAACGGCAGATTACAGGTCAAGAATTTTCAGTGGTACTTTTGGCTCAACTATCGCTTCATCATCACTTCAGCGCCAGCAGAGCTTCTGCTTCGCCAGGGCTTTACTAAACCTTTCATTTGGTGTTGCTATTTCAACACGTCAGCTTTGCTCAATATAATCATGTATATACATGGGTCTCAACCTCTTTGACTTTCCCGCTGACCTTTCTCCCTGACAGGGGGAATGACAAAAGTGTCAGATACGTTCAGTCAGATGGCGACCAAAGCTCATTATTAAACAGCAGGTTTGATGTACTAATGTCAAGATGTTGATAACTGATGAAGGTAAATGTCACATCATTGTCTCTATCTGTGCGCTGTGTGTGTTTGTGTGGATCTGTGGTGCATATTTCCACTCCCTCACTGTGGCCTTCTTTAAACTTTCTCATGTGGGTGTTCACAGAATTAAGAGTTGACGTGGTGGACTTGTACCAAGCCAGTTTTTTTCTTCTTCTTCTTTAAAGTCGATTGATTAGCAGCATTCTCTGAAATAATTTCTACATAATTCAGCCTGCTCTTGAACTGAAGTCGAATTAGTTGTTTTCCTCAAGACCGCATTGTCTTCACCGTTGGGTTTTTCATAATTTTCCTAAATAAAATGATTGCTTTATTTTGCTTTTCAGCTATGAAATGCTACGTAGTGAGCTCGAACAATGTCTGGAAAATCACCTGCCTTGATGAAATGTCGCCAGTGCTGCCAGAGATAAACCCAGCCATTAGCAGCTTTCTTCATTAGCCCAATTAAATGGCCCTCAGGAAATGCACTGACAGAAACCGTATTTGGAATGGGCTGCTGGTGAACAGCTGCATTAAAACCCTATTTTGTAAATTAAATTTCAATCTAATGGCAATAGCCTTTCTTCAGGTGATAATAAGAGGAAGAAGGCCTCTTCCTGCCACACTGTTTAACACATTTTTTTTAATTCCCTTTTCCTCCTTTTCCTATAGTCTGATTCACCTCCCCCCCCCCCAACAATGAAAAGTTTAACACTCCTACCACTACAAAGAAATTTAAACCATGAAAACGGAGCGCACGAAGCCAGAGTTTGTTCTTTTTCTCTGCTACCTCTGTCAGAAGAAGAATGGAGAAAAAAAAATCAGAGCTGACTTTTACACATGGAGAGTTTTTTCCAGCAGCAAACTGTCACCTCTGTCACCACTACTTTTTACTCGGCTGTTGTTTGTCTCCCACATAAATTCTTGCCATGTTGCCATCTGTATCTATGTCTCTCTTCTTCTTTTTCTTCTTTACGCTGTTCATCTGGTTTGCCACATATAAGGAGAGGGGGTGTTTACATGACTTTGCTGGGGTTCAGCAGGAGAGAAAAGCTGGTTTCCTGTGTATCTATCAGCCCACTGTATGGCCATATTGGGTGAACGATGTATCAGTAAGGCTTTGTTTTTACTCACATGACGGTATGAAAGCTTAGAGCTTCACACTGATGATGTTTTTAAGGAAATGTGTCTCCTTTGTTTTTCAAAGAGATAAGCCTTCGGCACTGTACATTAGCTACAGCACCCACCCAGTCTTGCTGCTCTATAAATATTAATCTCTTTCCAACAGGTCGCTTGCATGAGATCCGCTTTACTGAAAGTTAGTTCAACCTGCATTTGACCCCAAATACTGTATATTTTACAAGTTAATCCCTGAGTGTCTAAAAGAGGCTGTTGAAGCGGTAGCTCTCTGCACTTTAACGGCACAACATATCCTCAAACTGAACAGCAAAAAAACTATAAAAAAAATGCGCAACATAAAATAATACCCTTTCAGCTTCATTTGTTTTTGTCTGTTTATTCTCTGTTTACTTGCAGTTCTTTCTCAATACCTTGGTATCTAAAGGTAAAGTGTGTGTATGCTTCAAATGAAACACGTTGTTATTTTTAAGGTAAATTGTGGCCGTATTGAAAAGCAGGGTGAAAAAGTCAAAGAAAAGGACACCATGAATTTTGAAAAGGAGATAACATTTTTAAATTCATAGTGAGTCACTGAGTCTTAATAAATGTAATTTAAAGCACAGCCCTGATGTAAGAAGTTCATTTTAGATATCAAAGCTGTAGAACCCAAGTTCTACAACCGTGTCATGAGCAGAGCGGGACAGCAGTGTCAGATACCATTGATCCATTCAGCAAGATGGACAATGTGGGCTTAACTCACTTCTGTAATGCTTGGGCCACAGGAAACACTGTTTCTGTGTGTTCACCTTGCAAGAGCAGCTCCCCGACCTGGAGTGTCATCAAACCTGAAGCAAAGCAGTGATTTATGCAAACGAGATCATAGACAAAAATAGTGAATTTCTAATTACTGATTTCTAATTCATCAGTAAATGGGCCGTGTGCTTCTTTTACTGTGGTTGAGCACAATCTGAATCTGTTTGTGTGTCTGTTTTCTCTTTGGTTTAATGTGTTTGTCGACCAAATGTTCAGTGTTTGTACAGGTCGAGAAATATTTCCTGATCAATGCTCGTAAATGATTCTGCCTTATCAGTGAAGAAGCTTTTTTGTTTGTTTTGAGATTCTCACTTGTGAAGCAGCTTGAAAAACAACGAGTTCTCAGGTGGTTTTTTGTTAGTTTTTCTCTGATAGGAAAATAACACGGATGCTCTGTAATTTTACAGCTATAACCTTTGTTTTACTGGAATAATGTTTGTCAGAACATGTGATTTTTTAAAAATATAGGTTCCTAAAATCAACGCTCATTGTTTGGACAGGACTTAATGAAAATAATGGCCACAGTTTTAGACCTTGGTGTGCTTATTATGAATTTGAACAGGGTTACTCTAATGAGTAATCTTCATTGCAACTATTTCAATGAATTCATCAAATAACTGGGTACATTTGATTCATTTTCCTAATTTTGTCTAACAAGTATTTGGATGTGGGTAAGAAAGTCAAAATGTCCTCCTCCTGTTGACGTTTCCTCAAGTTCAATTTTGAGCATTTCTGTTTTGCCAGGCGGGCTTTAATCGGGCAGAAATGTAGGAGTCCTGTACAGAAGAAAAAAGATTTGACTATCCGAAAAAAGTCGAGTCAAGTTTAACAAAAGATGCAATCTCCGGCAGTGAATGGGGCCTGTCTAGACGCAGAGAAAGCTTCTGGTTAGCAGCAAGATGTGTGGAAGAAATGATTCTCGTAACATGTTTTCCTTGCCGAGCTCCTTTCTTGCTCAAATATCATGCCTGTAGAGGCAAACATACAAAAAAGCTAAAGATCACAAAGGCAAAATTTGCACAACACAGACATTCAAACGGACTCTCTCCATGTATACTGTTACAGTGGTGGATGCTCATGTAACCGGTGTGATTCTGCGTTGTGTCTGTTAAAAAAGGTAAAAGAAAGAAAGACCTCCAAGTAAATCATTTGCCCACTCCAGCTCCTCTCCCACAGGGGAATTGTAGAAAAGGGCTGGCATTTATTTTTACATTAAACATAAAGCATGAATTTACACGTAAGATATTTGACATAAGATAAAACAAAAACAACAACATGAAATCCGACATACCTGATAAAAAAGGTAACAGAAAGAAAGGCCTCCAAGTAAATAATTTGCCCACTCCACCTCCTACAACCAAATACAAACAGTGGGGAAGAGGGTTAGCTCAACCCACCACAACTTCCAAGCTAGCAAGGAGTATATATTCATGCTAGCATTTATGGCGCCTAAAACACATTTATGATACACACATACTACACACTTATAACATCTAACAAAAAACAGACTTAATAATGACAATAATTGAACTAAAATCGCAATCAGAAACACCAGGGTGACTAAATATGAATTATATGTGTGTTTTAAAGTGTTGGGAAGAAATGACACCCACCTCTCTCACAGGGGAATTGTAGAAAAGGGGAGAAGCCAAAGGGGT